ATTGAAAACTACTATTGTTTTACCATATTACATGCTATTGAAAACTACTATTGTTTTACCATATTACATGCTATTGTAAACTACTATTGTTTTACCATATTACATTCTGTTAAAAACTACTATTGTTTTACCTTATTACATGCTATTGAAAACTACTATCGTTTTACCTTATTACATGCTGTCGAAAAACTACTATTGTTTTACCATATTACATGCTGTTAAAAACTACTATTGTTTTACCTTATTACATGCTGTTAAAAACTACTATTGTTTTACAATATTACATGCTATTGAAAACTACTATTGTTTTACCTTATTACATGCTGTCGAAAACTACTATTGTTTTACCATATTACATGCTGTCAAAAACTACTATTGTTTTACCTTATTACATGCTATTGAAAACTACTATTGTTTTACCATATTACATGCTGTCAAAAACTACTATTGTTTTACCATATTACATGCTGTTAAAACTACTATTGTTTTACCATATTACATGCTGTCAAAAACTACTATTGTTTTACCATATTACATGCTATTGAAAACTACTATTGTTTTACCATATTACATGCTGTCAAAAACTACTATTGTTTTACCATATTACATGCTATTGAAAACTACTATTGTTTTACCATATTACATGCTGTCGAAAACAACTATTGTTTTACCTTATTACATGCTATTGAAATGACTTTCAACATTATTAAGTTCAAACTGACATAAATTGTGCAATCGTATGAATCAGATTTCATAATTATTAATTTTTTTGAGGCCCAAGTAATTGCTTTTAATTTACTTTTTTCTACAGATGGGTTCCAGTTTTTGTGGATCAACAACAGACGTTAGCCGTTATGTCGATAGGATTTTTGTTGACGAACAGAAATGATGCTGTTATTTGGAGGGGACCTAAAAAAAATGGTTAGTTTGGGATCCAGTTTCCAGTCTTAAGTTTTCTTTTAAGCACTTGTTCTAAGATCTTTGGAAGAGCATAATTGGAAAAAAAAAGAACCTTAATAAGCGATTCTCTGAGTGTTTTTTAATTTATTGTAAAACTGGATTGCACTGAATTCAAGAAAAAAAATTATCATTTTATAAATTATATTTATATTGTCACGCTCTCGGTAATTCATACTCTGTGTTTGTGAGTTTGATTGTTTGTCCATGAACTCCTTACACAGTTATTGAGCTAGCTGGACCAAACTTGGGGTGGTGTGAGGGGGATGTCTTTATTTATATAGCATAGTATCAAGGGGGGCTAAAACAAATCTGGCAGGCCACCCAGGCATGATAGGGGTTTTGGAGTAGATTTATGGGTTGCTGAACCTGAAGCTGGCATTGGGTTTTGTGTTCCTGGCCCCCTTAGGATTCTGGGAGTGTCATGTTTAAACCTGTGTTCATACCCTCACTAACGAGCTTGCAGGACACGTGCTCAAGTGCTATGGTTAGGTGCCATAACGGGGATTTGTTTTGGGGTACGTACAGAAGTAATTGGGATTAATACAGAGGTTTGATTGAAACATTGGAGTCTCTGTGAATCGTGAGGGGGGGGGGTTGAACCTTGCATCTAGTAGCCTAAATTTCTGTTAATGAACCAGAATCTTGTAATCTCATTTACAATAGAAAAAATAATAATGATCGAAAGGGAAAAGCTTCTGGTATAAAGTGTCCATTATTTATTAATAAAAACAAACATCAGTTTTTAGATTAAGTACTTTAGTCATCTGTCTTTGCTGTGTTTGTATGCTATATAATGATTTCACTATCAAGGAAAGAGCAGGCATTAGTTTCAGATTTATAGATCACTTGATATTTACACAGAAGGAGCTGGTATTAGTTTCAGGTTTATAAATCACTTGATATTTACACAGAAGGAGCTGGTATTAGTTTCAGGTTTATAAATCACTTGATATTTACACAGAAGGAACGGGTATTAGTTTCAGGTTTATAAATCACTTGATATTTACACAGAAGGAGCAGGTATTAGTTTCAGGTTTATAAATCACTTGATATTTACACAGAAGGAGCTGGTATTAGTTTCAGGTTTATAAATCACTTGATATTTACACAGAAGGAGCGGGTATTAGTTTCAGGTTTATAAATCACGTGTTATTTATAAACATAAACAAGATAATTTAGTGTTTGTGATTTCATTATGAATTAGAGTGGCAGTGGAATATATATATATTTTTAACGATGTTTCCAAACCTTTGTTTAGTTAACTTTAAAATTAAAAAGTTTGTTGTGATTAAAAAAACCTTTTCCTCTTCCACATTCAGCTATGATTAAACAATTCCTCACTGATGTATACTGGCAGGACATCGACTATCTCGTCATCGATACACCTCCAGGAACGTCTGATGAACATATCAGTGTCGTGGAAAACTTAAAAGAGGCTGCAGGTTAAAATACTTCTCTGTAAAACGTTTAACACCACGCTACCTGAGGTGTGGTGACCAGAACGGCTCCGATAGGGTTAATTAATTGACAAGCCTAAACTTTTAACTTCCAAATAGAAGGTAAAACAATAGAACTTTAAGGAATCTTTCTTTTTTTTTGTAACAAAAGTGGTATTTGGAAATAAATTTAACGGGACGTTGCACAAGAAACAAGCAGTAATTAGCTAGATTCCCACAAAATAAAGGCCGATGTCACAAGTTAGAATAAGTCGAGTTTATCCATTACACAAAAACGTGTGGGATTAACCAGGAATACTTAAAACAGTAAAATTAATAAAGATGAAGATAATCCAACAAGATTAGGCTTATCAATTACACAGTAAAATTAATAAAGATGAAGATAATCCAACAAGATTAGGCTTGTCAATTACACAGTAAAATTAATAAAGATGAAGATAATCCAACAAGATTAGGCTTGTCAATTAAACAGTAGAATTAATAAAGATGAAGATAATCCAACAAGATTAGGCTTGTCAATTACACAGTAGAATTAATAAAGATGAAGATAATCCAACAAGATTAGGCTTGTCAATTAAACAGCAAAATAGATAAAGATGAAGATAATCCAACAAGATTAGGCTTGTGAGTTAAACATAAACAAAATTATGAACATATGACTGAACACAAGAAGAATATGTAATACTATGTCAGTTGCTGTTAAGGCTTTTCCTTGAATACCAAGGCTTATCAGCCCAGCTGGAATACAACACACATATTAATGGTCTACGCTGTATATTGTTAGGGTTTGAATCAGATTATGTAAATGAAGGTTACTATTCTTTTTATTTCAGCAGTTTGCAATTTAGGATTAGGCTTATGACAAAATATTTAGTTACGTTTAACACCGACGTTTTATTTATTATTGTTTTTACTTGAATTAACTTTACTGTTACTGGGAAGAACTGGTCAGCTCGTCTTCTTATTCCAGAGTGGGTCGTGCGTCAACGAGAAGAAATCTACGTCAGTAATTCTATAAATGTACGAGTGAAAGCAAAAAATTATATGTAATATGTTAACCACACCATATGTGTAGTCATACCAGGCCTCTTCAGGCTGACTGGGATACAACAGACATAGTAGTACTAGTAGTAGTACAGATGTTATTTATATTATCATTTGCAGGGACAGGAGTTCTTAAGGTGTTAAGTGTATTAAGTAAGTGAAGTGTATTTATTGACTGAACCAACCCAGGTAACATTAATTAACAAACTAGTCAGATATTAACACTGACGTTTCCAACAACCGGGTCAGTCGTTTAATTTTCTAGTTGAGAAAAGATGAACTTCAAGAATACTTCTCATCGGCTGTTTAACGTTTGAAATCCTAGGCAGTAGCAGTTGGGGATGTGAGAAGAGAGATGACTTTCTGTAAAAAAACTGGGATACCTGTCTTGGGCATCATAGAAAATATGAGTGGATTTGTCTGTCCTAATTGTTCTGTAAGTACAAACGTTCGAGTAAGATCCGTCTGTTAGTAAGTACAAACGTTCGAGTAAGATCCGTCTGTTAGTAACTCAGATTTTTTTGATATATCTCGGTATTTGTTTCTTATTATCAAATTCGATTGAGTTTTAACTCAATGTGATCTCTGTGGGTTTCTGAATTTTTATTTGTAACAGTTTAGCATATATGTTTTTATAAATATATGGCAGTGATTGATAAAGTTTATTACGATGTTATACCAGTTGTAATACAAGGTAGTCTGTAGACACTAGTACCCAATACCTCTGGTGGTTGTAACGTGTACTGAAAAATAAAAATACATGATGGAAATCTGGGTATTTGTACGGTACCCGATACCGATATGTAGTCATTTCTGTATCATCCTAGATGGTCAGCTTGTGATATTTAACCATTAATTACTATTCTGTTTAAGTGACAGCCAAACAGTTACACTGTTAGCTTAATTTCCATTTACTGATACTATAACTGTTTCACTGTTAGTTTCATTTCCGTTTACTGACAACAGGACCATTTCACTGTTAGCTTCAGTTCTGTTTACTGATACTATAACTGTTTCACTGTTAGCTTCATTTCTGTTTACTGACAATGGAACTGTTTCACTGTTAACTTTGGTTCTGTTTACTGACAACAGGACCATTTCACTGTTAGTTTCATTTCCGTTTACTGATACTATAACTGTTTCACTGTTAACTTCAGTTCTGTTTACTGACAACAGGACCATTTCACTGTTAGCTTCAGTTCTGTTCACTGACAACAGGACCGTTTCACTGTTAGCTTCAGTTCTGTTCACTGACAACAGGACTGTTTCATTGTTAATTTCAGTTCTGTTTACTGACAACAGGACCGTTTCACTGTTAGCTTCAGTTCTGTTCACTGACAACAGGACTGTTTCATTGTTAATTTCAGTTCTGTTTACTGACAACAGGATCGTTTCACTGTTAGCTTCAGTTCTGTTTACTGATAACAGGACTGTTTCACTGTTAGCTTCAGTTCTGTTTACTGACAACAGGACCGTTTCACTGTTAGCTTCAGTTCAGTTTACTGTCAACAGGACCATTTCACTGTTAGCTTCAGTTCTGTTTACTGATACTATAACAGTTACACTGTTAACTTCAGTTCTGTTTACTGACAACAGGACCATTTCACTGTTAGCTTCAGTTCTGTTTACTGATACTATAATTGTTACACTGTTAACTTCGGTTCTGTTTACTGACAACAGGACCATTTCACTGTTAGCTTCAGTTCAGTTTACTGACAACAGGACCGTTTCATTGTTAACTTCAGTTCTGTTTACTGACAACAGGACTGTTTCACTGTTAGCTTCAGTTCAAGTCATTTCTGTTTTATACTCATCTGTACATTTTTTCTAAGTTTTAGGTAAAACGAAACATTAACTGTAAAATAACTTGACCTTCCTGGTGTGTTTGTGGTCACCACACGTATATACTGTCTGGGTTATTGTTATAAAGAACTATCATATACAGAGAGTATTCCTCAGATGGCAAGTATTTGATTAATATTATATCTTACTAAAAATATAAATGGCCGATCACCAGAGAAATTATTTTTATCACCTTTACATTTTTTAGTCTTCCAAAGCCTTTATTTGGTATCGAGACCTAACCTGCTCAATACATCGTTGTTACACTTCCAAACGATACACTTTATTTTGCCTCGTTCAAATTTCTTATTCATTGGTCACCTTTACTTTTAACCAATCACTGCTCATCCAGCTTCACTCGTGTTCAGTTTATTAGTATACGACAACACTGAAGAAGAAGCTTTTAATCAATTCTTGTTTATCATTTTACTGATTTTGTAATCAAAATTCAAACATTGTTTTTTGGAAATCAATGATAGAAATACGATGATTTAATACAATCAGTTTTTGATATACAAATGTGGAAATATCGGAAAGTTAGAGGAGTTGTGATTGGAGCAATTATCAGGTGTATTGTGGTACCTTAGGCCTGTTTTTTTTTATGTGCATCCAGGTCAGATGAACTGAGTTGTAAAAGTACAAAGTACTCTGTCTTACAGTATAAAGTGTTCAAATCTAAACCACACTTAATTGATTTTGTAATTTTTATATCAATATAAATTGTGTATTATTTGCTTTTATTATCATCAACTTGTGTTTACTTCTAATTTTGTGCTCTTTTATGTTGTCTAGGAAACATCTATTTTTTATGTTGTCTAGGAATCATTATTTTTTATGTTGTCTAGGAAACATCTATTTTTAATGTTGTCTAGGAAAACATTATTTTTTATGTTGTCTAGGAAACATTTTTTATGTTGTCTAGGAAACATCTATTTTTTATGTTGTCTAGGAAACATCTATTTTTTATGTTGTTTAGGAATCATTATTTTTTTATGTTGTCTCTGCTGTACCGTACATCAGACTCAATGTGATCTCTGTGGGTTTCTGAATTTTTATTTGTAACAGTTTAGCATATATGTTTTTATAAATATATGGCAGTGATTGATAAAGTTTATTACGATGTTATACC